GATTGAAGCTTTTAGTAGAGCTTGTGTAGCTAATAGAGTCAGTGAAGAACGAGCGATTGTTTTAGTAGCATCCTATCTTAAAGGGACAGCATTAACTTGGTACAATCGTCAAAATATTATTTTTTGGGAGAATGATAATAGTCCTCAACGATCATTTACGCATTTATTTAAGGATCATTTCTGTAATCCCTTCAGGATTAGTCAATGGAAACATCAACTGCGAAATAGGAAACAAAAACAAGGAGAAACAATTGAAGAATATATCGCAGCAATCACAGAATTATGGAAAAGAGTGGATCCCACAGATAGACGAATGGAATTAGATAAAATCCATGAATTTATTGAAGGTTTAAGACCTGAATTCATTGTACCTGTACAATCTGCTATGCCTCAAACAGTAGAAGAAGCAATGGAAAAAGCATAAGCATTAGAAACTGCTTTTTCAATGGGAATGGATCTATCAGTTTATTCGATGATGCCAGGTTATTTGCAAAATATGAATGGAGGAATGATCCCTGCTCGAACCAACTTAGCCATGTATCAACCTGCCTATTCGATGAGTTATTCCCAACCAGAAAGTGTAGAAAAGATGGTTGAACGGAAAATCAGCGAAGGAATTACTGCAGCATTAAGTCAAATGCGCACAGAAACTAAACCAACCAATCCTACTCCAAATAATAACAATAATAATAATCAAAATAGGAATAATTCAGGATGCTATGTCTGTGGAAGAACTGGCCATATCGCGAAAAACTGTCGTCAAAGAAATAATCAACAAAATAATAATAATCGCAACAATAATGGAAGAGATTTAAGGAATGTTGATTGTTATAATTGTGGAAGAAAAGGACATGTATCTAGGAATTGCAGGTCACCACCATCAAATGATAATAATAGTAATAATGGAACCAATAATGGTTTCCAAAATAATGGTCGTTTAAACTACTGAACGCACCTCGGGAGGGGGAGAGTGCGAATTTTAGAAAACCCTCTAACGAAATTAGTACTAAAAGAGTGAATTGGAAGGACCCATTAGAAGAAATCAGACCTATTAAAAAGCCAATTCAACTATTAAAAAGACCTACATATGTTCTCAACATTTTATATAATAACTTTGGAATTTATTTATCGAAACGGCTACAGAAAAATAAAACAATGTATAATTTATGGCAAGTAGCAGGAGGAAAAGTAGAAAATCGTGAATCTTCTCTTCAAGCTGTACTTAGAGAAACAAAAGAAGAAACAGCACTAGATATTAAAAAAGATGAATGTGTATTTTTATTTAACAACCCAGCTTTTAATTGTGATGTTTATTTAACAAAAGTACCTGATTACCAAGAGTTACAGCGAACTGAACCTGAAAAACAAGGAGCTTGGACAATTACTTCTTTTGAACAATTCCAATTTATGGCAAAACATAATGAATTAACCCCAACACTAGTTAATTATTATACTGATATTCTTAACCAATTGATTAGAGAAGAACCAGCATATCTTAATCAAAAAGAAAGAGCCGAAGAAGCTTTGTATGGAGAAGCGATTGTATATGGACAACCTGTTAATGTCTTAATAGATTCAGGGGCTGTAGGTTGTATTATTTCTAAAAAATTCCTAGATAAAGTCAATAAAGGAATTGAATTACCTACGAATATTAAAATCATCGATGTAACGGGACAAAAGTCATCACCACTGGGAATGGTTCAACAAGTTCCAGTACAAATGAGGGATATTAAAGTCTATATTAATATGATAGTTACAAACTCAGCTGAATATAATGTTCTGCTTGGTAATGAGTGGTTGAAAAAGGTTAATGCAAACATTGATTATGGACAGAATACCATCACCATTAAATATGAAGGAATCCAACAACAAATTCCTGTCACATGTTCTCAAAAATTGGACCCAACAAAATATACAGTCATTGACCCAGTAGATGAACTAGAATTAGAAGATGAGTTAGAAGACACCATAGCAGTTCCATTTTATAGGGCAGAAATAACCAAAAGTACTTTTCAAATCAATGATCGAGAATATCACCCAGGATATTTAGAATATATTAAGCAACAAAGTCACAATAGTACTGGTATAATTAATAGTAAAGGGCCAGGAAAATGCCTATGTAAAACCTTAGGAGAACAAGAAGTTTGTGATAATTGTCAAATAGTTCAAGAAGATTGGAACATTTATCACGTGATGCAAGAATCAGAAAGTTCGAATATATTTAATATTCAATTAGAACCAGAAAAAGTTGTTCCGATTGGAGAATTAGAGGAAAATCAATATCAATCACTTTATCAATTATTGGATAAAAATAAAGACTTATTCGCTAAATCATTGCAAGAGTTAAAACAAACTCCAGAAGGGGAACATATTATTATCACTGAAGAAGTGCCACCTATTAAAAAGCGAGCTTATAGGACAGCACCAAAGGAAAATGAATTTATTGAGAGTGAAATTAATGACATGTTAGAACAAGGGCTAATAAAACCTTCAACTAGTCCCTGGTCATTTCCAGTAGTAGTAGTGAAAAAGAAGAATGGAAAACTTAGGTTTTGCGTTAATTATAAACCTCTTAACGATATTACAAAAAAGGACAATTACCCGCTTCCAAGAATTGATGAATTATTAGATTCTTTACAAGATGCACAATGGTTCACCACTTTAGATTTAGCATCAGGGTATTGGCAAATAAAAGTAAGGGCGGAAGACCAGGAAAAAACAGCCTTTATCACAAAATTTGGAACATACGAATTCAAGGTTATGCCTTTTGGACTTTGCAACGCACCTGCGACGTTTCAGCGAACTATGGATAAAGTTTTACATGGGATAAAGGAGAAGTTTGTTTTAGTTTATCTTGATGATGTTATTATATATTCAAAAACTTTTAAAGATCATATTCAACATTTGGAAGAAGTTCTAAATAGAATTCGTAAGGCGAATCTAAGATTAAAAGCAGAGAAATGTTATTTCGCAGCAGCTGAACTTCAATTTTTAGGACATGTTGTAGGAAAAGAAGGTGTTAAACCTGATCCAGAAAAAGTTAATAAAATGGTTAATTATCCAGAACCTCAAAATATTAGAGAATTACGCGGAGTCCTAGGATTATTCTCTTATTATCGACGCTTCATCAAAGATTTTGCTAAAGTTGCTGATCCAATGTACAAGTTATTAAAAAAGGATGCACCTTACGAATGGACAAATTTACAACAGAAGGCATTTGAGAATTTAAGAGATAAATTAACAACAGCACCAATCGTACAATACCCAGATTTTTCAAAACCTTTCTTTTTATATACCGATGCTTCAACTATAGGGTTAGGCGCAGTACTTGCACAGAAAACTGATGATCAAGAGCATGTGATTGCCTATGCTAGTCGAACTTTAATACCAGCGGAAAAGAATTATGCCATCACAGAATTGGAATGCCTTGCGATTGTATGGGCAGTTAAATATTTTCGACATTATCTTTATGGAAGTAAATTCACCATCATCACTGACCATGCAGCGCTCAAGTGGTTGTTAAACTCAACAACAGAAAATAATAATAAAAGATTGGAAAGATGGAAGATCGCCTTATCAGAATATAAATATGACATTGTATATCGGAAAGGAACTAAACATGCGAATGCTGATGCATTCTCTCGTCTTGACTCAACCTCAACCAATAATCACACCAATCCTTCAACCTCACATAACGATTATGGATGAACAACTATATAAAGAATTAATTTTATTTTTAACAACTCTCACTTTTATGGATGGTATAACTGATAAACGGAAAACCCAAATTCGGAAAAACTCAACCCAATATATTTATCAAAACAATATTTTATATAGGAAAACAAAGGATGGTATAAGAAAAGTAATTCTACGTGAACAAATAGAACCTATTTTATATCACTTTCATACAGATATGAGCGGTGCTCATTTAGGAATAGACGCTATAATTGGAAAAATCAAAGATCGATATTATTGGCCACAATTAGGAGAAGATGTAAAAGAATATATAAAAACTTGCGATATTTGTCAAAGAAGAGGACCTACCAATCGGCGAGAAGAACTGATACCAATACCAGTTAAGGGACCATTTCACAGGATAGGAATTGACATTAAAGGACCATTACCGATCACCAGTAGTGGAAATAGATATATTATTGTTGCCATGGATTATTTTACAAAATGGCCAGAAGCAAGAGCGATATCCAATATTAAAGCAGAAACAGTAGCAAAATTTATTTATGAAGAAATTATTTGTAGACATGGAGTTCCACAAGAAATTCTATCTGATAGAGGAACATCATTTATGAATAAATTAATTGATGAATTATGTGAAAATTATCAAACTAAACATCGTCTTACCTCAGCTTATAGACCTCAAACAAATGGAATGGTTGAAAGATTTAATCGAACAATTGGTGAATGTATTGCAAAATTAGTTCAAGATAATAATAAGGAATGGGATCAATTAATCGATGCAGTACTGTTGGCATATCGAACGAAAAAACATAATACTACAGGAAAAACACCATTCTATTTAACTTATGGACGAGAAGCAACCTTACCAATTGATTTAAAAATTCCATCACAAATACCTCAAAATGAAAAAGACCCAATGCAAAGACGAATTTATCAATTAATAGTTGAATTAGAAGAAGAACGAAATGATGTTTCGTTAAGAATTGAAAAAGAACAAGCGAAGCAAAAACAAGTATATGATCAACAAGGAATTTCAGAAAAATTGAAAATAGGAGATCAAGTCTTAGTAGAACGAACGTGGCTTAAAAATAATTTCTCAGCAAAATTAGAAAATAAGTGGATAGGACCTTATTTTATTCATGAAGTGCTTAATGATAATGTTTATAAACTTAGAAATTTAGATGGGAAATTAGTTAAACATGTAATTCATGGAAATCGGCTTAAGAAATATCACGAGCGAAAATTGGAACCAATAGTTATAGTTTGAGAATAGTGCAAAAGTTTTATTAAAAATAAGGAAATTATTATTGTTCATTATTAATATTATTATCAACGTTATTATTATTATTATTATCATTAATATAATCAGGACCATCAGCAACAAATATTTGATCGTAAGAAGAAGAGGAAAAAGATGAAGATGAAGATGAAAGTATAGGTGAAGGAGATTTGGGCATATTATCGTCAACAACAATCATACCATATTTTTGTATAACACTCATCGCGTGATAATATTTATTTTCAAAATATTTTGTACTATACATAGCGCTTTTGTTCTCCCTTTTCAGTTGTTTTACTTCGCCCTTTAAACCGACAATTTCTTCATCTTGTTGAATGACCTTTTTTTGGGCCTCCCAACATTCTTTTTGGGCGATAGCCCACAGTTCATTATTAGATTGCGCTTCTTCTTCTTGTTGATGGATTTGTACGGACTGTAAAACCCCAAATTCCGTCAAAATTGCAACTTCTTTTTGTAAGGAATTATTTTTAGCTTGTAAGGAATCATTTTCAGATTGAAACGTTTGAACTTGATCTTGTGTTATTAAATGGAAAAAGTAGAAATACCAAGTTAGTCAAAGACTAAGTGAATAAATCGATAGTCCAAAAAAAGTTCTACAGGGGGAGTCCATTCAAGACTAGATATCCTGGAGGTAAAAATACCCCGTCTGCAAGTCGAAAAGAGCCAGATAAATCAACTGTTCAAGAACCGGATAAAGGTCGAAACCCCGTCTGCAGGCTATCCCCGTTTAAGAAACATTTTAAGAACCTTGCGTGCAATACTCACCTTCAAGTTGACGAAGTTGTGATTTACGAGCAGCCTTTAGGTTTTTAAAGCGAGCTTGTGATTTTTTTTGGGATGTTTTTGATCGACGGCAGCCCATTTTAATAAGGATGTTAGGAAAAATATGTAAGTTTTAATAAAGGTGATATATGCAAAAAGATTTTGCGGAGAAGTGAAGACAAGGGAAAGGGAAAAATTAGGTTCTTAAATAAGAAAAAGACACGACGCGAGAAAATGTGCTCTAGACGAAATAACAAAAAATGACGTGAAAAAATTCAATAACAGCTGATAATTATTACACGTGGAAATAATTAAGGAGAAGAAAAAGCTATTTTTAGAACAAGGAGAAATGTTTCAAAATAGTAATACGCGATTAACTAATTTAAAGGGTAAAATCAATCAAACTAAATTAGTGAAACAATAATGTCGCGATCTACCAAAATTAGTAGTTGATCATTAATAATATTAATTAATTAAGTGCGACAATGAAATTCTTATTTAAAGACGCGTTTTATTTTGTTATGATTCACTTTTTCTCATCATGACGCCTTACGAAATTGTGTTACAAGACCTATTAATTGAAGGAAATAGTTCTCATGAATTACAAGACGAACCTTATTCAAACGAAATGGATGATAAAACAAAAATTCATGTGACATACCGATGTTTATTACGAGCTCAACGACTAAAACAAAGAATTCCAGCTCTGGTTTTCGCATATTTTTTAGGACAGCTTATTGAACAAAAAGAATTAACTAAGAAGCAAGTTAGACAAATGGTTTCAGAACATTATTATTGGATTTCTGTTCGTGTTTATTATATTTTTGAAACAAGTCCTACTCAGATTTATCGTACCGTTAATACTACTGTTAATTTGATAAGATCTTTAAAACAAAATGAAATTAAGCAATTGGTATTGGAAATTTAAAGACTCACAGGAGTTCGTTCTTTAAGGGGGGGAAAGTGTTAAAATAGAAATGTGACGCAGTAATTTTGTAGATCAATTTTGTAGATCATTTTGTAGATCTCTTGATTTTTTCGATTTTCTTGATTTTCTTGATTTATTTGATAAATCTGATAAATTTGATATATTTGATTTATTTATTTTATTAATTTTATTTATTTTATTTGTTATATTTTATTTATTTGATATATTTATTTTATCTTATTTATTTATTTTATTTTATTTATTTTATTTATTTATTATATTTGTTTTATTTATTTTATCAAATATTCTTGATTTTTATTTTATTATAAATAGTGATAGGATTTTACCAAGTAGGAGGAGGTCAGTTAGTGAGGTCAGTTAGTTAGTTAAGAATTGTATTGTAGTTTTCGAGTTATACGAAAAGAGTATTATTCCCAGTAGTATAATTCAAGATAGTTAATTTCGCAACCAAGAGATTATCTATATTTTTGTCGTATTCAAAATCTTATATTATTTTAATAAAAACCTATTTTCTTTAACTGAACATTCAACGTTATTTCACGTGATTATTTGTGATCAACTTAAGACTCTCTTATTAAGTTAAACTCCAGTTAACCTGTTAAAGCGTTAAAGTTTTTCAGTCGGCTTTAATCGTTGACAGGATAACAATACACAGATCGAAAAGTGAAAAATCAGGCACCAATCAGGCAGTTTGCTAACTTTTGATCCAGTGATCAGAAAAAAATGAAATATAGCTCATTGGAATCGTCTCAATAAGACGAATCTAATAGTAGTAAAATCGCATCTCTAGGATTAATAGTTAATAAAAAATTAAATAAAATATAAATGATACATTTTTATTTTTATATTTTACTTAATTTCTCATCAAGTATTAATCCTAGAAATGCGATTTTACTACCATTAGATTCGTCTTATTGAGACGATTCCAATGAGCTATATTTCATTTTTTCCTGATCACTGGATCAAAAGTTAGCAAACTGCCTGATTGGTGACTGATTGATGCCTGATTTTCCACTTTTTGACCTGTGATATAAAGGTGTATGATGACGAGAAGTAATTGAAAAAGAAATGTTTCCAAATAAGTTTCCAAATAAACTACCATTTAATTTCAAAAAGCTCAATAAGGAAGAAATAACTGATTTTAATCAGCAAATGATCGTTGAATCAGAATGGTTTGTTGATCGTCTTGGTAAGAAAAATTAGTTAACGTATGATGATCATTTATTAATTTATTAATACTGACGTTTAATTTAGAAATGTGCATTCGATCAGTTAATTGTAAGAAAAAAACTTATAGGTACCCTGTTCATCATGTTCCCATATTTATTTTAATTCAACTTTTTGAATCATTTGTATTGTGCTGTTTCCGATCTAAAAAATACTAAATTTACACTGAAATTTTATTATGAAAATAATCTATTATTAACATATCTAAAAAATGGTCATATTAAACAATTAAATGAATTTTTTGATACTGAGGATTCATCTGTAAGATTTTGGATGGAACTTGCTAATAAATCCGTTCAAGGTACATTTGACCAAAAACCAGTATTTAAAGGACTTTGCTATATTATGTTACAAGCTGCAGAACGTGAAGAACAAGGAAAAGGCTTACGAAATTTCAAATATTCAACTGAATTTTTAAATTTTCTTATAGTGTTGAGAAGTATTAGTTTAAAAGCATTGGATTTATTCTGTAAGAATTTAGCTGGTATGACAATTCGTACAATAAGGTAATGATAATACAATTAAAAATTATCTAATTAGCATGATTATATCTATAATAAAGCATAATTTTTTATATGTATATAGGTATCATAGAAGTATTTTTGAATTCTTCGTGATGTGAACGATAACTTTTTGGTACATTAATATTAGGATATCTTTTAATAAGATCTGAAGTCGTTAAATTTTGTTGAGATTGAGATTGAGTTTGACCTATTGAGGCTGAAATATCTGGCAGAATAACGAGTTTAAAGGGAGATGAAAAAACTGTAGTATTAGTATTTCGTGTTGATAGTGTTGACGAAGTAGTAATATTACGTGTTGAAAAACGTGATGCTAATATTAACGATCGTGATGCCGGTGTTGAAGAAGCAATATTTGAAGGTGTTGGTGTTGAAGAAGCAATATTTTGTGGTGTTGGTGTTGATGAAGTGGCAATATTTGGAGGTGTTAGTGTTGAAGAAGCAATATTTGGAGGTGTTAGTGTTGACGAAGTGGCAATATTTTGTGATGCTGATGTTGACGATTGTGATGCTGGTGTTGAAGAAGCAATATTTGGAGGTGTTGGTGTTGACAAAGTAGCAATATTTTGTGATGCTGATGTTGATGATCGTGATGCTGGTGTTGAAGAAGCAATATTTGGAGGTGTTGATGTTGACGAAGTGGCAATATTTCGTGATGCTGATATTGACGATCGTGATGCTGGTATTGAAGAAGCAATATTTGAAGGTGTTAGTGTTGACGAAGTGGCAATATTTCGTGATGCTGATATTGACGATCGTGATGCCGGTGTTAAAGAAGTAATATTTGGAGGTGTTGGTGTTGACGAAGTGGTAATACTTGGAGGTGTTGGTGTTGAAGAAGCAATATTTTGTGGTGCTGGTGTTGACGACTCAGCAATATTTGGTGGAAAAGTATTTGGTTTCGATGGTTTCTTACGAGTCATTATTGGTTTTTTTTTTCAAAAAAAAAGAAAGATATTTTTTGTACGGACGAAGAAATTGGTCCACCTTTTATATCTATTTTTTACTATCAAATTAGACTTTTAACAATCAACGATTAATTTCACTTAAACATTTGTATCAAATTAGACTTTCAATTAATTAAACAGATCAAATCAGACTTAAACTTTTTCATCAATCAAAATTAAACTTTCGCATCAAATTAGACTTTCAATTAATGAAACAGTTAAATCAAATTAAATAGTATGGTGTACGTATGTTTTATTTTTAACTGTTTCATTAATTGAAAGTCTAATTTTCGTTCAATTTTCCATTCAGCTTTGTGTGTCCAATTTTTCTCAATTTTTTGTCTATTTCATTCAAATTTTGTATGGTTTTTTAACTATACCATCAATATCATTTTAAAAACGGAATATAAAAAATCACAATATTACTAAAAATTTGACATCACTAAAAATTTGATATTAATAATTACAATTTTATTCAACTTAAAAACATATTACAACTTTAACTTTTATCAAAAAATGAATAAAGGGAGAAGAAAACGCATTGCTGCTAATATCTTGAACGAATATAATAATCTGAGTTCTTCAACTTCTGAACGAACTTATGCCGAATTTACGACCAGAAAACTAAGATCGAAGGTTCTGTGCTATTGCAGCAATTGTAATGGGAAAATGATTGATCCACGCATAAAGGAGAGACATGAGCAAACGAATTCTTTAGAACTATTAAATTCTGATAAGGCTCTAACGTCTCAAGAGTTAGTAGAACTGATTGATTCGACAATATCGTTAGTAGAACCACGAGATACAACAATATCGTTAGTAGAACCACAAGATACAACAATATCGTTAGTAGAACCACAAGATATGACAATATCTATTGATACATATTCTGATAATGATACGTATGAGGAACAACAATATGTATTTCTTTCACGTAAAAAAGGTCAAAAACAGGCACACTTCGTGATATTACTGAAGTTGAGCAAGTCGCTGAATCAACTGAATATAACACGGATGATATCTACACTAGTGAATCTTCGATACAAGAAGATTCTTCTAATAATGATGATTAGAGATGCGATCCGGATGAAATTTTACAATCCGTGATCCGCACAGATCAATCCGGATTATCATAGGATTAAATTTGGATAATCCGGATTAACTTCAAATTTTTGGGTATCTCGGCATCCAACGATCGTATAGAGATGCACTATAGCTCATTCGAATCGTTGCATTGAGACGATTCGAATGAGCTATAGTACATC